ACCATGGATGGGAGTCGAAATTTGCCATTCCACACAGACTGCGCCAATGTTCGGTTCTATTAAACCATATAATGATACCTCAAGGGTATGCGCTCAGAGATATCCTATGGATAGGTATCTTGGTTGGCTTATAGCCAATATCCCCATCACTACGCACAAGCAATATGCTTATAGCCGAGACGTGGGTGTGAGCACAGTGTGGGCAGAAGTAGTAGGATGAGTTCAGATTATGTACCTGGGGTCTTTAACCTCTTATTTATAAGGGTTACCTCTTGGGCTTGTGTAGATCTCCCAGTTGTAGTAGGATTTAGCTTCCTTTCTGTTGGGATAGGGACTCTATCCTTAGCATCCTTACTGTTTTATATTGTTAGGATAATTGGAAAATTATCCTTTAAGGGATTCTTGGGTAGGTGGTTAGGATATGAAAATATTCCATAACACCTTAATACATCAAAATGATGTATAACTTAATCAGGCCTAAAAGAGTAGATTAGATTTGATAAGGGATTGATGTATTAATATTGCTTACAAGTACAATTCTCAAAAACTAATATATCATTTCAATATTAATATATTAAAATAATTTTTTTAATATATTAATTTTAAATTATTTGAGGATATTATCTTATACAATACCATATCAAACGCTGGATAGTATTAAAATCTAATCAGATCTTATATTATCAAACCTTATTCTATACTATGCACCAAACATGCACTTAAGGTTGACTCATTTAACATGTCACAAATATTTGGTTTGATATTTTCAACACACAAACTTTAATCCAACACGTTTGAACCTGCCTCGTATAAAGGCGGGTCATAATGGGTTCAACTCCTCGCAAGGCGGGTTGACCCGCGGGGTCAATATTTTTTTAGTATCAGTATTGTCTTATATGTCATATAAAGCTTTTGTGATATTCAATTTTTTTATCGTAATACTCCTTTACAAAAGATAAAAAAGAAAACACTTTATTCATATGAGAGGTTTTGCAAAAATGAGTTCATAGAGACTGTTACGTTGAGTATTAACATACATTGAGGCTTGGAATTGGAAAAAATTATCTAGAGTTTGAAATTGAATTAAATAACATTATAAAACTCATAAAATATGATTTATTTTTATCTTTCAAACAAATTGGCCCGTCGTCCTTCAACCTGCTATAAAATAAGATGAGCTAATATTTTCAATCCACTTAAGGCAGATCAACCCACCCAACTTTAATTTTGGCAAGTTGGCCGTAGTTTAAGGTGGGACAACCCGCTTTACCACCTTTTTTAAAATGTGTTTGTTACATAGTAAATGAATTAACTACACTAGACTAGATTAATATGCCTCAATGACTAATGTTAAAAAAAAAAAAACTTCTTATGGTTTCAACTCATTTTGATCCTCACTCATATTAGGTGGGGTTAAAAGCAGTGTTTTAAAATCCTGTCTCGCCTCAGGGTTAACCCTGCCGGGTTACTGACCCATTCTCTCTGAGGGTTGGTGTCATCAGTTAGACCTTACATGCACGTTGACCTATTTGACCACCAAAATCCTCCGGTTGAACCCGTGACTCCTGGGTCAATAGGGTCACTGCATTTTTTTTTAAATACACACAAAAATACGTCGTTTGGAGAGTAAAAAAAATATAAAATCGTTGATGCCTAGATCTAGAACTAGATCTGAAATCTGAATTGTTCTTTTTCTTCTCTTCCAATCTTCTCTCCCAGACCCAGTCTCCCTGATTCGGTGATCTCCTCCGCCGTGGTGGTGGTTCCTCCTATCCTCTTCGGTCTTCTCTCTGCCTCTCCTCCGTTGTGCTGATTCTTCTTTCTCCACTGTTGATTCATCATGCCGCCGCCTCTCCTCCACCATTCTCTTTTGAGTAAGGGATCTCCTTTCACATGTTGTTGTAGGTGCGTGAGAAAGACAAGGAGAACTTGAATTTGATGATATAACTTGTCATTAACTCCATAGGAATATGTGTTTTATATTTTGATACGTTGATTAACTTTTGTAAAATTGACTTGTGGATTTAAGTGGTTGAATTATATTAAGTATATTTTGAATATTTGATGATTGATGATTTGAATTTTTTGAATTTTTCACATAGGATATACATTTATATTTTTTTAATGTATAAAATCGGGTCAACGAAGTGATCTCGTGACCTCCCAATTAAACTCATGACCAAGTTACCCTTGACCTCGACCTGGTCGATGGCCGAGTCGAATTTATAAACTGATTAAAAGAATTAACGGATGAAGAGTCCCAACCTAACTAGTCATATATAGTGAATTAGATGAGTCAACCCCACAGATTGAACCTATTTTGCCACATATAACTTTTAACTAACTTTTTTTTTTTTACAAACTAAGTGTTCAGCAATCACACCTAATTAAGTGTTTTTTTATTTGAAGAAAAGGTTTTTTATCAACATTTGTAATAAAACAAAGATGAGAGATATTTTTACTACCAAAATCTTCTACTATCAACTCACTACCTATCTAATCACCATTAAATCAACATTTTCTCTTTTTTCAAAAGCTTTTTAGCATTCTCTCTTTTTGATTCAATGATGATTAGATAGGTAGTCAGTTAGTAGTAAAAAATTTTAGTAGTAAGGATATTCTTCTCTAAAACAAATTACCTTAGTGAGAAATCCATTTTTTCAACAACATTATTATTTTCATAAAACTTAATTCAAGACACTTAGAAAGTCCAATATGAGTGAGTGAATTTTTTGTTTTAGTTTATACACTAATTAATCAATATTTTAAAATATTAAACCAAGAGTAAATATATGTTTTAGTTTATGAAATGTTGAGTTGATATCATTTTAGCTTTTCAAAAGTATGTAATATCAATTTAGTTTCGTAGCGACGATTTTAACCAAGTTCATGTCAACTCTATTTTTTAATGACAAAAATCATAATTTGCTTTCAAGCCGAATCTTTAAAATCCTACTTAATTAGATGTTAATAAAATATTTTCCTATTAATAGTATAAGGCGTATATATAAAATCATAATCTTTAAAATATTTTATTAGGAAATATTTTCCTATTAACCACTTATTATAAGTTGTTAATAATTCACAATTAGTTTTTACTTTTTAATCTGTCTTGCTTATTTTAAAAGTATTTTTTTATAAAAGCTAAAATTATTTAGATTTTTTTTTTAAAAATTAGTTTGTGAAAAAAAATATTTGACTTTTGAATTTTATTTTTAAAAAAACTAAAATTTTTAACATCCAATTTTTTTTTTTTTTTGACTTTTTTCAAAAGCAGGTATCCAACCAGTTTTTTTTTAGAAGTACTTTTTTTTTCTTAAATAGCTTTTGAAAAAAAAAAACATCCAAAAGGGCTTCAATACTCTAAAAAACTCAAAAACTCAAATATCAATAATTCAATATAGACAAAAGTATCGTATTTTATTTACCCTATTTTTTTAATTTTGAATCTTTTGCTTAATTAATACCACAGATTTTAAACTCATTCCATTTAACACTTAAATTTCAATAAATAACAGTAAATCTACCACACCATTCCATATGGAATGAATATGGACCTTCGATTACTTTATTAGGTGGCGGTAAGAAAACGATTAGTAATGATTAGTATGGAGAAAACAATAAAATAAAATGGTTCATCCTCTCTCTCTCTCTTACCCTTTTAATACAATAAAAATATTATTTTTCAATTTGATATAATATTTTTTAAAATACACCAAATATAAAATAAATTTATTTTTTTAATGTAATAATCCGTTTATGGAACGCTACCTTAGCCTATTAGACCATGTTGGCAAACTTGCTTTCACGTTTTCCAATTAGTGAGACAGATTATTAATCTCACATTTCTTCGTCCTTCAACTTAATTCAGTACCATGCTGCACTTGCTCTTGTTAACAATTATTTCCCCCTTTAAGATATTAGAAAAATTAGATAATATAAGATTTTTAATAGAAATTATGTAGACGACTATATTTGTCCTAACCAAAAGGTTGTGATTAATTAAGCGTTAATGAATTAATGCATGCTTAATAAATGATTTATTAAGGTATTAATTATAATTTGAAGACTAATGAAGACGATTTTTAAGTTTGCAAAACGAATTTACTAAATGTTCAAAATTTAGATGGTAAATATAATAATTATATTACTTTTTTACATAATACACTAGATTACTGTTTTTTCGTGTTAAATATTATAAGCTTTTTTTTATTTTATCTATTTTAGATAAATTAAAAAGATATTAGTTAATTTTTATTTTTTTATATCATATTATCTTTATTATATTAAATAAGAGAGAATATTAATAAAATAACAAATTTAAATCAACTGCAATTATATTTTTTAAAATTAAAATATTTAACGACTTTCAGAATGTATTAAACACTTAAACAACTTATATTTTGATTCTCATTTTTTTTTCTCTTTTTAAAATAAATAACATATATTCTTCATAGCAGAAAATTCTATTCGGAGTTGATCCGAGATTAAAGCTTTTAACAACTAATATTTTGATATCATTTTTCTGATCATATAAGATTTTGTTTCTTTTGTTATCAAAAAAAAAAAAAATTTTTGTTTCTTTTAAATTCTATTCATTTAAATTTTAGTTCTTATAATTTACTTTACATATATATATATATATATATATATATATATATCAGTGGTCATATTTTTATTGATTTAAATTTTAGTTCCTAAAAAATTAATACTTTAATAAGCTAAAAATATAAAAATCAACACATTAATGAATTAATAGATTAAAATACCAAAATTGAAATAAGTCAAAATAAATGGAATAATTCGGTAAAATAAAAAGTGAAGGGATAAACAATAAGCAATAAAGTCTTATTTAAACAGATTACCAAAAAAAAAAAAGTTTTATTTAAACAAATGTTTTTAATATTAATAATAATAATAATTAATAATGTGTTTCTTTCTACAAAGTGGACTTTGCGCTGAGTTTCAAGATAACACACAAACTCACACAAAACCAAACCCATCATTTCCATTATTACCAAAATCAAAGCTTTTTCAACAACCGAAGAGAACAACACCGCCACCGCCGCCGCCACCACCATCCGCCGCCAAATGTCCAATACCAACCCCGATTCAGTCACGGCGCCGCCACAGCGCCCAACCATAACTCTCCCGCCGCGTCCCTCCGCCGAGGCTTTCTTCGCCGGCGGCGGCGGCGCAAGTCCCGGCCCCATGACCCTCGTCTCCAGCTTCTTCTCCTCCGACTCCGGCGACTGCCGCTCCTTCTCGCAGCTCCTTGCCGGAGCCATGGCCTCCCCACTGGCGTTCGGCGCCGCCGCAGCTAGGCCCACCACCGCCGACAATTACGGCAAAGAAGACGATCACAAGAACGTGGGGTTCAAGCAGAGTAGACCCATGAATTTGATGATTGCTCGTTCCCCAATCTTCACAATCCCTCCAGGGTTGAGCCCTTCCGGGTTTCTCAACTCACCAGGCTTCTTTTCCCCACAGGTAATTGTGTTTTTTTATTTATTTTTGTGGTTAAATTTGAAAAGGGATTTGATTTTATGAGGTTCCCTTTTGTTGATTTTAGAGAGAAATTTGAAAAGTTTGTTTATTTTTTTTTAATTTTGGAAGTGCGAGATTTGATCTTGTTGGAAATGTGGAACTGAAGTTTAGTAATTTTGGGTTTATAAGTGTTTTATGTGAAATTACTTATGAACTCTCACATGGATGTTCTCAACTATTCAGATTTGATCTAAATTTTATCATATTACGTTTTAAATTTAAATCAATTATGTTGTTTCATGTGTTATGTTTTTAGTTGACTGCTGTTGTACTACTCTCTCAGACACTATAAGAATTTCTCAATTTTGAAGTTGCCAATATGTTTTTTGCAATGAAGCAGTTGGTCTATAGCCTATTCAATGCATGGGATGCAAATAGGATATTTGGAGTGAACCAAGTAATCAAAGTCCTTGGTTTTGTGAAGGGATTGATGGAGTGATAGCATTTAGATCACACACACTTTTACAAACTTTTAATAGATATTGTATACGATAGTAAAATGACTTTTGGTTGCAGTACCTTGATTTCTCTTCAGTGATAATTTTGACGGGGTGTTTTTAGCAACAACAAAAATGAAGACAAAATTTGTGGCTGAAATTTGTAAATTGAAATATAATCTCTTCAGGTCATTCCATAATGAAAAGAAATTGTAATATTTTCCAAATTTATACTGACTAAGCAGCTCAATGACTGGATTTCCTTGTCTTCTAAATAGTGGTGGAGCGAGGGAGGGGCTAGTGGGGGGTGTTCGCCCCTTCTCAAATTTATATCAATCTTTAGAAGTAAGCATTATTTTTAATTTTTAAGTCATATATCTAATTCTCGTCCCCCTTCAAAATGTACAGAAAAATTTAGTTATAAGTATCATTTCTATTTTTTTGTCATGAAAATAGTTGTAACTTCATAAAAAAAATAAATTACTCATTATAATTTCGCCCCCCTTCAAAAAAAATTATAGCTCAGCCACTGTTTCTAAGAATGATTCTTTGTGCCTTAGCGTTATACTTGTTCACGACTGCATGCTAAATTGTAATAAATGTTACTGTAGTCTGCAGATCTGTTATGCCCCTGCAAAAAATAAAGTTTTTTTTTTTTCCTGGGTAAAATAGTCGCTGGGTAATTGCGCAGGATCATGCATCATATTGCATCATGTGTTGGTCATGCTGCTGGGCATTTTTCTCATTCTTATGTATCAATGTGATCTTTTTGCCTTGAGGATGGTGGATATACTCGTGTGAGGTTTTTATTATCTCTTCAATTCAATGTATACAGAGCCCTTTTGGGATGTCCCACCAACAGGCTTTAGCACAAGTTACAGCTCAAGCTGTCCTAGCACAATCTCATATGCACATGCAAGCTGATTACCAGCCATCTACTGTAACAGCTCCCACTGAACCATTGGTAGAGCAGCCATCTTTTACTCTAAATGAAGCTTCAGAGCAGCCAGTGGTGGCATCTGTATCAGAACCTAGAAATGCTCAAATGGAAATGTCAGAGCTTTCACATCCTGATAAGAAATATCAACCATCTTCCCTGGCCATTGACAAACCTGCCGATGATGGTTACAACTGGCGTAAGTATGGACAGAAACAGGTTAAGGGGAGTGAGTATCCACGGAGCTACTACAAGTGTACACATCTGAATTGCCTTGTGAAGAAAAAAGTTGAGCGTGCCCCTGATGGTCACATAACTGAAATTATCTATAAAGGCCAGCATAACCATGAAAAGCCTCAAGCAAATAGGCGTATCAAAGATAATAGTGATTCAAATGGAAATGCAAGCATTCAACCTAAGTCTGAGTCAACTTGGGTTGGAAATGTAAACAACTTTACTGAAAACGTGCCTGATTGTTCAGTGCCTGAGACTGACCAGACTTCCAATCAAGAGGCTCCAAGGCAACTACCTGGATCAAGTGAGAGTGAGGAAGTGGGTGATGTAGATAACAGGGAAGAGGGAGATGACAATGAGCCAAAACCTAAGAGAAGGCAAGTTTTGCCATGTGAATCCTTTACAACTACGCACTTTTATAATTCTTCATGATGTAGGCTAAATTTCTGCTTTTCAGGAACACTGATCCTGTGGTTTCTGAAGTACCTCTGTCTCAGAAGACTGTCACAGAGCCCAAAATCATTGTGCAAACAAGAAGCGAAGTTGATCTTTTGGATGATGGCTATAGGTGGCGAAAGTATGGTCAGAAAGTGGTGAAGGGAAATCCTCATCCAAGGTGATTATTTTTCTGTGTTACTATATTCTTTTTTAAAAAAGCATCTTGGGTTCGTAGTTTTCAACAATTCAAAATTTGTTGAACCTTCAACAAATTACAGCTTTGAAATCATATAAATAATTGCAGAGTTAATCAAAAAATTTAAGGGAAGGGGGGGGGGGGGGGGTTGAATCAAACATACTTGATTAACTTAATAGAATTTCAGGAGTAGAGGTAAGATTGGAATGGTTTTTTTGGTTTAGAGAAATTTGGAGGGAGAGAACCAGGTCTCTCAAATACCTGGAGAGATAGAGAGAGAATCCTACTTTTGTATCATTCTTGATCTCTGGTCTGTATCTCATTGATATTGATTAGTGTTTTTCAGTAATAAAGATTCATTGCTTATTTCTGATCCAGTTCTATCTACCTGCCTTTAAGGTTTTTTTCTCAATTATTAAGAAAGTCATCATATACTCTCAATTTCAGGGAAATATAAATACATTTAACTATATAACCTTCTCACTCTATTGGTTCTCTGTCATTCCACTCAGCGGAGAAACCAAGTGACAAGGATAAAATAAAACAAAATTTCTTCTCTAAAACGTCTAATATTTTGAAATGGAGTATTATTTTTCAGTCCTTACTCCCAAACCAAGTATTATTTCTTCATGTTGTGGACCAAAAATATTCAGCGTGAAATTTACTTTCACCCATCCTCAGCTTTCTTCTGGGCTCTATTATAGGATTCTATTTGTCACTAGCTATAAGAAATAGGATTCCCCCATTTTGGGACTACAAAACCAAATGTCATGCTTTACAAATTACAACTGAAATAAACTTGATATGGCCCACCCATAGTCACTGGGTACGGGTATGGAGTTCTCATGGATATGTGGTTTGTCACTTTTTGTATTATCATCACAAAACTTTCTTTAAGGTGAATCTATTATTCGGTACGCTAGATGGGAATCCGGTAACTATGGCCTACCACTCACATGCTTTCTACAAGAAACTTTTTAAGACTATTTTGCACATATTGTAGTTGTTAGTTAATTCAGTTTCCATTCAATTTTTAAAATTAAAAATCGAGAAACTTGTCATGACATCCCATAATTTAATAAAATCTAATTTCTTTTGTCCACCAAAAAAATAAAAAATTCCCTTTGAGTCTGAAACGTTTTTGTACCTTTTCTTTTGTGTTCTTCTCTAGTAATATTCTTACAATGATGTTCTAAACTTTTGGTGCTGTTTCTGCTTGCAATAGTCAGCGTTTCAGATTATTAGTTCCAGTCAGTGTCTGAAACGTGTTTTTATGCTTTCTGGATGACATTATATGTTTCTATTCGTTTTCATCACGAGATAATCTTAAGTACAGGATTCAAGTTTTGTTCTTCACTCCTGTAACATCCTCGCTAATGTGGTTTGGCTTTTGGTGGGACCTTATTGTCAAATATTAGCCCCCGCCCCCTCCAAGCACCTGCCACCCTACCCAAAAGAGGATAAAATGCAAATAGGAAATGTGACTTTTTGTTTCAATCTTGAAGCTAGTGTTCTCATTTTGTGATGCTTTTTGCTATAATTGTTTCCTGAGATATTCAGACTTCACTTTGTCATTGTGTATGAAGACACAGCCCACTCTTTCTATCTGGCAACAATTCCATAACCAGTTTAGTTTATAGCTTTCTTTGTATTTTGTTTTCATATCCTTTTAACTTATCTGATGTTGAATTTCTGTGAGCAGGAGTTATTACAAATGCACTAGTGCAGGATGCAATGTGCGTAAGCATGTTGAGAGAGCTTCAACGGACCCCAAAGCTGTCATAACAACATATGAGGGAAAACATAATCATGATGTGCCTGCTGCAAGAAACAGCAGCCACAACACAGCTAATAGCAATTCAATGCCATTAAAACCACATAATGTGGTACCGGAGAAGCATCCCTTGCTTAAAGATATGGAATTTGGAAGTAATGACCAAAGACCCGTACATTTACGCTTAAAAGAAGAGCAAATCATAGTATAAAGTCTGGTGCCAAGATCCGTTATTCCATTTTCAAGTTACTGGTCAATGAAGAGAACTCACCTAATGTTGTCTAGAAGATGAAATGGTTAATCTGAAGGTGTAGTCAGATTTGGCAATGGTTAGTGCATGTTTATTGTTTTATAGTTTCTCTGTATGTAATACCACTTTTTGTACATCTAAATTATGGAATTGTTTGTATAAGATGTTCACAGGTATGAAGATCATTTCAACTAATGTATGGACATTATTACAAATAAAATTGAAAAACTGGCATTGCTCGATTGAACTCCTTTGTATGTTATGGAAGTTGAAATAATTATTTTGCTAATTTTAGTCTTGTATGGATTGATCCATACGGCCGTCCCCATCTAATAGGATAAGGCTTAGGCCTGGTTATTTTTCTTGTATTGTTGTAACCTTGTGAATTACAATTGTCAGAATATGAATTCTTATAAGGTACTCTTGAATGATGTCCCCTTGATGTATTCTTGTTCACATAGTGCATTACCAGAGATTCCATTACTAAGTCACTCTTTTCACAGCTACAGTTCACTTACGAAACGAAGTGCAATAGGATTCGGCTTCTGTGAACTATAGAATGTGTATTTGCATTCAAGGAGTATAAACATAAGTCCATAAATATCTTAAACTTTTTCTTTATTTATTTGTATGTACCACTAAGAGCCTATATTATCTTCTCAGTAATCTGTCTGGAAAGTGAAAAGTGACCATATGCTGCTACCTTTATTTTCTAAAGATGGTCAAAACATTAAAGTGTAGACTTATTTAATATAACTGTTTTTTCTCTTTCTAGTGACCACTTTAACCGTGGCAAGGCATTGCAATAACACGGACTGAAGCCCAAAACGTACTTTTGGATATTATGTTCCATTTCTAAAATTTATGAGAATAGATCTATAAGTATTTTAGCGAGAGAGTAATGCTAGAGTGGTGATACAATAGAATAAGTTTTAAAAAGTTAAGAATATCACTCTCACATAGAGGGGAGGGGAAAGAAGAGTTTTTTTCTTCTTCTTCTTTAATGACACTCCACTCTCTTAAAGATATTCAACATATATTATCTTTAACTTCATTTAAAAAAATTGGATTTTCTCTTATAAAAAATTACACTTTAATCTGCTTTTTTTTAAAAATAACAGTAGGTATTGATTATATAAACTTTTTATGCTATTTATGAATTTAAATTAAATCGTAATGTGCACATAATAATCAGCTTAAGCATGACATGAAGAAGAGCTCATGTCATGAGAAATATCAATTGTTATGAGCCACATCTTAAGAAGGACTCATCTTAAAAATTAGTTTATGGAATGGAAAAACTCTACGGCTAATCTCTCTCTCTCTCTGATCTAAGAAATTCGAAAAACAAGAATTTATCTAATTTTATATCATCAAATATTATAAGTAAATTTTTTATACAATGGGAGGGAGTAGGTATTCCCTTATAAAAATAGAAAAATAAAAATATAAAAGAAAATAATCATAAATGTAAGTATTTTTTTTTTCATATTTAATATATATTCATAATATCGAAAATATTTTTCAAATGTACATGCACAACATTAGATATATCATTTAAAATATGAGCATTAGATATATCATTTAAAATATGAGAAATATTATATTTATAAATTTTTTATTTACAAATTTTTACAAACTATACTATGTTTTATATGTAAGACACTTTTGAGTGAAGTCTTATAAATAAGACTTAATATAATTTATAAATTTGTAAAAAAATTGTTAATATAACCTTCCTTTTAAAATATAATAAAAATAAAGAGTTCGTTTTTTGTCATGTCACATGACAAGACTATTTTCCTGCACACACAAATCAAATGTAGGTCTCACGTTTAAAAAAAAAAATCTAACCAAAATCAGGATAGACACCGTATCCTCAAAATACGTTGCCGGATCCTTGTTGCAGGAATGAAATGATTATATTTCCCAAAAATAAAATACAATCATGACCCATGTTGTTTCAAGTTGGATGTAATCACTGAATGTGTAATTATCAATCCAATCGCGCACCATTTAAAGTTGTCATGTCACAATTGGCAGCAACTGAAACTCAAAACTGAATGAACTGTCAAATCTTAATGCAGCTCTTTACACCCACAGACGTACACTCTCTCTTCATCTTTGTCTAATCAAAGCAACCAACAGAAAATAATAACTTAGCCTCTAAACGGTTACATTACACCTTTTTTTTTTTTTTTTTTTTTTTCATTTTTTCTATCTCTCTTCTCTGGTAACACCAAAAGAGATGATGAGGATATGGGACCCACGAATTTCTCAGGACCGTTCCCGACATCCTCGAAAATCATCCCCCGCAGATCTCGCATTCCCAACTTTGTACCTCGGATAGACAGACAGACAGACAGAGAGAGAAAAAAAAGGTTGGATTTTATTGCATTTTGGCATTTGGGGAAGAGAGAGAAACAAACGAACGAACGAACGAACACGAAAACAAAACCAACCCACCGTTTCCCTTCACCAATGCCTCTGTTTCTGGTGAGTTTTGCTCGTTCTCTCTGACGGTGGTGTCGGTTTTCTCGGAAGCGGCTTCGCAAACCGCTTCCGGGTCGGGTCAAGCGTGTTTTTTCCGGCGGAGAATGGGTTGTGTCAATTCCAAGAAAGGGGTTGCCGGAGCTTCTTCTTCTTCGCCGGTGGAACCGCATGTTGTGCATTCGAGTTCACGAAAACGGAGCAATGGTGGTTCTAAACGCAACATTGTTGTGGAGTCAAGCTTGGCTGTGTCTTCCTCATCGAAAGGCCATTCTGGGGTGGTGGTTTTGGAGACCCAACAACAACAACGACAAGGAGAGAAAAATCAGAAACCAGAGGAATGGAAGAAGGGAAGCTTGAGAGGGGGAATAAATGGGTCATTGAGCATGAAACTTGGAAGTCATAGGTTTGTGGAAGCAGAACAGAAAGCAGCTGGTTGGCCACCATGGCTCACTTCTGTTGCAGGTGAAGCCATTGATGGATGGGTTCCTCTCAAAACTGATTCTTTTGAGAAATTAGATAAGGTATGTCAACACCCCCACTTTTTTTTTTTTCACCTTGTTAGTTATTATTGCATGGATTAAAATTTTGTTTTGTCTCTAAACAAGCTATGCAGTGTGATAAACCAGATCACGAGTTGGGGCCTTTTTTTTTTTTTCCCCTTTTTTGAGCCTTTTAATTAGTTAATTTGGGGAAAATATATAGATAACAAAAAAAAGAGCTTGGCTTCATCTATGAATTATAGGAATGGGGACAGTCAATTTATTTGTAATTTAATTGCGAATGGTATTATTAATTGAAATTTTTGCATTTAACTATTAAATTTTTTTATCATGTCTTTAACCCTGGCTTTTTGACCAAACTAATATAATTGTCTTTAATTCTGGTTTTTTTTTTACCAAATCAATGTATTTGCTAAAAAAATATTTATTTAATTTATTTTTCATAAAATATTCAAGACTAATCCGATCAATCTTGCACATTGACTGTACGAGACAAGTTCCGTTCGTCTATTATGTGAGACTTAGTGTCAGCGGAAAAATTCTGTATGTTGATCATGCACAACTCTTTTAAGTCCTGCACGTCTGGTGATTGCATTATTTTGAAATATTTTTTGCAAAATAAATTAAATAAATATTTTTTTTTATTTTAAAAAAAGGGGTTAATAATCAATGATGTGTTATATTGATTGATAACTAACTACCTACCAAACACAACCCATTTTTTAATCCAAGCTTGGGACCGCCTATGTAAAAAGGTTGGTAAAATTATAACATAGGTAGAGTTGTATTTAACTACTGCAAATATGAACATATTTAATGTTAGTTTTTTTAAACAGCTCAGAAGCTAGCTACGAGCTTGTAAAGAACTGAGATTAAGCAAGTTAATTAAGCTTACTGCGTTCAAATCCTAAGCTTGGGATTTTCATTTTTTCGCTTTACAATGATAAATTGCATGGTCTCTAATTTACTTACTTATGCTAGAATGTCTTTGTCTTATACTCTTAATGTCATCATGGTTAATATATATCAATTTTATGACTCTTTTTTTCCCTTAATAATTTTATTTCTGAAGATTGGACAAGGTACATATAGCAGTGTGTTCCAAGCACGTGAAGTTGAAACTGGGAGGATGGTTGCCTTGAAGAAGGTGCGCTTTGACAATCTTCAAGCCGAGAGCATTAGGTTCATGGCGAGAGAAATAATAATTCTCCGCACACTTGACCACCCAAACATCATGAAATTGGAGGGTATAATTACTTCACAACTATCAAATACCATATATCTTGTATTTGAATACATGGAACATGATCTTGCTGGCCTAGTATCTTCTCCAGACATCAAGTTCACTGAGTCACAGGTTTGTCAACATTTCATTTGTGACAGTTTAAGATGTTCATATCTAAGTAGGTTATTTTTATGGGTTTGAAATTTGTTCTTTTAAATGATATAATTTGTGTTCTTTTAGTAATTTTACATTATGTTTTATCGGAAAGTCATACTTATAATACTAAATTTTTTTTATTTTATTTTATTTTACTTTCCACATTAGCTGATGATGTGACTTAGGTGAGAAAAAAATAAAATAAAAATTCGTATTATAATTATATCTTATCGGTAAAACATAATGTAAAGCTATTAAAATGACAAAGTTGTGTCATTTAAAAAAACACATATTTTCCCCTACTTTTATACATTAAATGTTACATTATTGTTTCATATTTTCCCCCAACAGATTAAGTGTTACATGCGACAGCTATTAAGTGGACTTGAGCATTGTCACCTTCGAGGTATTATGCATCGAGACATTAAAGTATCCAATATATTAGTGAACAATGAAGGTATTCTCAAGATAGCAGATTTTGGATTAGCAAATAACATTTGCCCAAATAGCAAGCAACCTTTAACAAGTCGTGTGGTGACTCTATGGTATCGCCCTCCTGAGCTCTTGATGGGATCAACAAATTATGGAGTTTCAGTGGATCTGTGGAGTATGGGCTGTGTATTTGCTGAACTTTTTCTTGGGAAGCCTATCCTTAAGGGAAGAACTGAGGTAATCCTCCTAATGAATGTATTTAATCATTGATAAACTCGTGATTAAACGACAATTAACAAAAGCATTCATATGCCATTCAACTGTGATTCCTATTAATTTCAACCGCAGAGTCCTACATAAATATACACAAGACTACATTGTTGTGTGTTAATCAAAAAGCTGTATTTTACTTATGGAAACATTCCTTCTTGTTGTGTCCTGGGTTCGATCCTCGCCGCCCTCCACTTTCTTTCAAGTGAAATTTCTTTCTTTGCACAGGTAGGTGGGCCCTGTGCATTGTCCACTCTTCAAGCCCAGCGGGCTCTCGTGTGAGGGGGCCCAGTGGGCTCTCGTGTGAGGAGATGTGTTGAGATATATAAAACCATTAACGTAGTCTCACCCAACAGCTATCTTAAATTTTTGAGTTGAATTGATTCTTTACACTTCTCGAAAGTGCTACATTAATTATTATCTAGAACAAAAATGAAGTGAGGTTAAGATAACTAATGAATAGGCAAGACAAACAATGCATCATTTCATTCATCAGACTAACACTAAACCTTTGGTCGCTTATTTTGTTGTTTATTCTTCTTTAATCTATAGGTTGAACAATTACACAAGATTTTTAAGCTTTGCGGGTCTCCACCTGAGGAGTTCTGGAGAAAGTGTAAGCTTCCTCTTGCAACAATGTTTAAGCCTCAGATTTACTATGAAAGCTCTCTTCGAGAGAGGTGTAAAGGTTTTCCCTTAACTGCTGTAAACCTACTTGAGACTTTACTGTCCATTGACTCCAACAAGCGCGGTACTGCCTCCTCTGCACTAATGTCTGAGGTAAGTTCCTTGTGCATTCTACTATTCTTCCTTTTTCAGAAGGACTTATATTTTTGAGGGCTACCTCTATAATTTTATTTTATGATAAAGAATATAGGTTTTCGTGACTTAACTTTGTGGATGGTGTTCCTTTTGTGCATAATTGTTATTATGAAAATGTTATTGTATGATTAAGTTTGATTTCTGATTTTATGTTTCATGTTGTATCTTTTTATAGTATTTCAACACCAAGCCTTATGCTTGTAATCCATCAATCCTGCCAAAGTATCCACCAAGCAAAGAAATGGATGCTAGAAATCGGGATGATGTGCGCAGGTATATCATTAATTGTGGTCTTTTTCTACTTGAAATAGAAAATTGTCATGGCATAGCTAGTTTTATTCTTGAATTTTCCTCCTGGTATGAGTTTTATATATGAATCTATTTCTTATTATTATATGTTGTGCATATAGAACGAAACTTAAAGGTTACATTGCATCATCTTCCAGGGCCAAAGCCTAATTATTTGGCCACATTCACTTATATTTACAGCTATATGCTGGAGAACTTGACAGAACGTTTAAAGTGAAAAAAGTTGGTACTTAAACCTGAAGGATAATTTATTCATTCTGTCTTTTAATCTTTATATTCGTAATCTCCTTATGTTTTTGAATGTTCATTTAAATCATTAACCAGCTCCAAATTTGGGTATCTGAACCGATCAAATTACTTAAAATGGATAGTGTGTGGTTTCTAATGAAACTGGGTGCTTTATTTCCAAATTCTGTGACTGAAATCTAGAATTTACACTCAGGAAAAAGAATGGAGGTAAAGAGCGAGAGGCTGTAACATCAAGAAGGCAAAAACAAGTCCATAAAGTTTTGCAGGACCCTAACAGTTTCAGTAAACCAGCTTTGAAAGAGGTACAGTTTCCTTCAATGCACAATGCTACACTGCCCTGAAGAAAATAACTACTTTTATTTACATGTCTTTCTTCTTTGTGAAGGAAATGCAGAATATTTCTCAAAATACTGTTAGAGATGATGGTAAAGCACATATTGCAAAGGTTAAAGTAGGAGCTAGACACAAAGAGCAGCTACAGCCTTCACATCATGCAAAATCAGAGACTGCTCAAATGATGAATGGTTGTAATGGCTATAGTGTATACTCAGGACCAGCACCTGTCTCAGGATCTAGTGGTTTTACTTGGGCAAAAATGAGAAAACAAGATTCTTCTTCTGCATTATCAGATGGATCAAGAAGCAAAATCAGTGCACTGGATCCATCCTTTGCAAAAGGCACCTATGATTTAACAAAACAAGGGATAGAAGTTTCAGAAAGAAAACACAATTACAATGCATACCATTCAAATCATTACCTGGAATTTGATCCCACAGAAAAAACGGATGCTCTGATAAATGCTCAGGTAAAGTTTGAAATACACATGCTTTAGATTAAAAAAAAACATAAAATTATCATTGTTAATTGTTATAACTTAAACTGACATCAGTTTCAGACTTGGCGACTAACACTTCACATGTGTTTGGTTACATGTGAATGCAACAATTTCCACTGTATTTTTTACTAATAGCTGGAAATAATTCTTTTCTAATGGATTTAATTTGATCCAATATAATCAAAATAATTCTCAAATGATAACCATCATATTGATGTGATAATTTTTTAAAAACTAAATTATTTCTCTGAGAATCTTTTGATGACCAAAATGAGGGTTTATTAGTTAAAAAAATTAGGGGAGGTTATATTTACAAACTTTTTTTCTTACAAACTATACTAAGTATGACTGGTCAGACTTTAATCAAGAGTGTATGACTAGGGGTGTGCAAAATAACCAAAAAATTGAACCAAACCATAAACCAAACCGAACTGCACTTAAAATAACCGATTTTTAAAAATCAGTTCATGAACCGAACCGAACCATTTTCGAACTGAACCAAACTTATTTTTATTACTTTATTTTTTTAAATTTTTTTTTTTTCAGAATAGGGTTGACCCGAACCGGTTCTGAACCGAACCGAACCGTTTACAACCAAATCGAACCACTTCTGAACCGAACCGGTTTTAAATCGAACCGAACCGAACCATTTTCGAACCGAACTATTTCAACCAATTCAGTTCGATTTTTCAAAAAATTCGGTTCGATTAGACCCTTGCACACCCTATGTATGACCGGTCAGACATATTGTAGTTTGTAAGAGTTTGTAAATAAAAAGTTTGTAAATATAACCTTCCCAAAAAATTAATAAATTCTCTTAATTCTATTGGAAATTCTTAATTAGTTCATTGATGTTTACACTGGGTATGGATCAAATTTGAAATCTTGATATTGGTCAAAATATCTATGTATTGTCTTTGTGTTAGGTTACATATTATTTTCTTTACCAAATTTTTTGCAGGGCTACAGAATACATGGTGAGTCTGTGGATAAAAATGATGAATTGTCGCATTGGAATGAAAGTATGCGGCGATATGTTCATAAATCAAGGTTTGGAAGAGGTAAAGAAACTATTTTTTATCTATGGTGATGTTTACACCTACAAAATTTAGTGAAACAAACTTACTACATCTCCATTCTATACTATAACATCCACCTATGAGTCTGACGGGTCCAATCAACACTTTTCTGCACGGTCACATTTTTTTTTAAATTTTTTGATAAACCATAGATTTGCATCTAATCTAATGATCATGCACACTAATGTGCTTCAATAATTACAATTACACAATCTCACACACTCCTTACATACTTGCACATAAGTAGGATAACCACCTTTGTTTTACTATATATATTTGTTGGATCCAAATTATGTGTATAAAAAAAAAAAAACTATTCCCCATTAAATCTCGACCAGTGAGGGTAGGGATGAGGATAATCCTATATAGCTTTATCTTTATATATATTTGCGAAGAGATGATTTTTTGGATTTGACGAATCCGTAACTTTTTAGTCACGGAATATTTTTACCATTGTTTTTATGCTCGCCCTCTTAATGTTGCACTCCAATGTCCAAACATTTATTTATTTTTGTTTATAACTCGTATTTAAGAGTAAATCAAAAGTTGTTCTTGTTTGAAACAAAATTACAAGATAGATCATGATGAGTACCAACAAATCTATATTTGTTCTACAGACAAGTGACTCAAGGATGATAGGAACGGAGTAATCCATACCTCTACAAGGGTTTTTGACTAAACATTCTGGCCATTGATGGACACTTTTATTGGCATCTGAACTGAACCATTTTAGCTTCTGACTTAAGCTCTCCTGACATCTTTGGCGACATTACCCTCCTTTTGATCACAATAGAGTTAAGTGTTCATACAGTTTTTTCATACATAGGATTACAGTAACACAGTATAATGCCCACATATGGAAGATGATATGATTTAAAAATGGTTAACTTTTCTTAAAGAATTTTGTCCTTCATAGCTTTGTACATGTCCTTAAGTAATTAATTAATTTTTTATTATTATTTTCGTCTTTTTCTCCCAACCCTTAAAAGTACGCATATATTTTAAGAGAGAGACTACGGTATATCTTAAAGTGTTCTTGCAAAGCCTCAAAATGCTAATTTAGGCAACACAAAAACGTTCTCTATGTATTTGCTGTTTTGAACTTAGGATAAAACAAGCGTTCTATTTTTTAGCACAAATTGTAATATAACAAGTTTATAATTACCTTATAAGCTTCAATGATCAATCAGTGTCTTGGACATACTAAAGCCAGTTCAGTGAAGTACTAAATTAGACAATTAATGTTTAGGGATTTATATTTCTGTCGCTGCTGTACGTGCAACAATCAAATACTTGTCATATATATACTTGAAAATATTAAATGCGGGAATTATAACCATATAAAAGATGAAAGCATGAGGAATCATAACCATACAAAGGATGAAAGCATTAAATGTGAGGAATCATAACCATACAAATGTCGTCGCTGTACGTAAAGCGGCTGCAGAAATGATTTTACCTAATGTTTAAAAGTCGTGACATTATATATCTCCCAGGTAGCAGGTAGGGGTGTTCATCAACCAATCCAAACCGATTCAAGCCGCGGTGACCGAACCGAAAAATCGATAACCGAATAAACCGAAAACCGAAAAAAAATCGTAAATTTTAATTGGATTGGATCGGTTTTCGGATGGGTTGATGAAAATCGATCCAATCCAAACTGATCCAATATATTAATTCTCCTCTACCTACTTGGGCCTTTCTCCAATCATAACCCAACATTTTTTAAACCCAAGACCCATTAACCCATCAACTAAACCCAAGAAAAAATCTAGTTACATCCCATCAACAAAATTTTATCTGTGTAGAGCTTCATATCTCATTGCCCAAAAAAATAACTATATTATCGTTGACTAATGCTTTTGTATTTCAAAAAATAAATAAATTTATAAAGCTAATATATAACAAAGATGTTATTTGCACAATATTCATGAAACTAATTTTATGATTTTCAAAAAACCGAAAACCGATCCAATCCAAACCGAAAAAAATTGGATTGGATCAGATCGGATTTGAAAAAAAATTCAAACCGAATGGATGATTACATGATCAAACCGAAGAAATTGGATCAGATGATTTTTGCTTCCAAAACCGATCTAATCCAGACTGCGAACACCCCTACTCCCAGGTGCTAAGTCATTACCTTATAATAATCAACTAAATTGTTTGCTTGAAATTTTTTGACTCATCAGTTGCTTTTTCGGTTCCATATTTTTTTTTAGAAAAAATTTAATTCGTGATATTTTATAAATCATGTTCAATTTTGGTTTCATACAAATGATCATTTTAATTATCAGCGTAACCACAAACCAATGTGTTATCATTTTTATCTAGAGCTTTGAGGTAATGAAACGTAACAGGTAATCACTAATATAGTAATACACTTGTTATCACCTGGGAAATTTCTTAATAAAATTAATTCATTTGAATTTCTTTTATATTTCATACTTAAAAATAAAAATATGAAAATATTTAAATATTCTAATAAAAGTTTATTTCCCCAAGAGAATAGATCTCCTCTCTTACTAAAGTTAAGTTTTGCCACAAATTTCTCCCAACCCAATCAAACCTTATTTTGGTTTTATTTAACGTTATTTAAGTCCAAGTCATTTTTAGTGGTTTCAAGTGTAACACCCCGTTCTAGAACCGGTTTGTTAACATCGCATTATGATATTAAGCGCAGTTACAATCACATGGGTTCAATTAAAATCCGGATAAATTTTTCATTTTAAAACGTACCGAACTTATAATACCCAATTTCGTGATCATAACCATATTACCTTGCGGAAACAGATAAATTAAGCTTAACATCATGTTCATCTCCTATTTTTAAACCATTAATTTACTTCTTGTTTAGTTCAATACTTCTACTATATTGTAGGTTTCTTCATTAGCTACCCGTGGCTTCAAACCGTGCTCAAATCGGAGCACTGTAGTCCAAGTTAGGACAATTTGAAGCAACACAAGAGAGTGTTGGTCACAGGCCCCGCGCGCTTCAGCGCGCTACCGGGCGCTCAAGCGCGCGCCATCGGGCGCTAAAGCCTCCTTCTGGGCGCTTAAGCGCACGGAGGCAGTAAGCATCAGGCATTCCAGTGTGGATGGGCGCTTAAGCGCGCAACAGGGCGCTCAGGCGCGCTATCCTGGGCGCTCAAGCTCCCACGGGGACGTTTTAGCGCGCAGAGACAGAAGCATCTCCTCCTTCAGTGGCGAAGGGCGCTTAAGCGCGGACCAGGGCGCTCCAGCGCGCAATCCTGGGCGCTTAAGCCCCCACTAGGGCGCTCCAGCGCGAGGAGGCAGAATGCATTGGCACTCGCAGGGGCAGCAAGGCGCTTGGGCGCGCTCTTGGACGCTTAAGCGCGCTGCCAGGGAATTCCAATTCCCACATTTCTCAGGTCCAAGCCTAGGGGAAAATGCATCCCCATTACAAACCCCAAATGTCCATGCCCCAAGACTAAATCCTAGCACTCATCCAACCTCTCCTCATGAGATTTAGCTAGAATTTGGGCAGCATGACCTTTGTTTTCTCATCGTTTACCAGTTTAAACGAAGAGGGTACCTAATTGATTTTCAGCCCAACCAATTCAACAACTCAATACATAACAAGCATGCATATATTGAATTCCAAGTAGGCATCATTTACATTACATATCCTTTACAAATCATAGAACTTAGCTTACAAAACACTATGATCATTCCCTTGGCTCCCATCAACAAAAGGTGTAACCAAAGGCATGAGCATAGGCTAAGTTCATCCAATGAATCAAGATATACAAATGATCATGGGCTTTCAAAATAAAATCCTATACATGTCAACTACAAAAGGCATGCATAAACTCAAAGAAGTGCCATATTTCATGCATAATCTAGGTATGGCCACTTGCCACCAGAGGCTCCTGCAGCATCCTTACCTGAAAGGGGGTCCCCACAACACGGGGTGAGATATACGAATATATCCAGTAAACCAGGGGTCCTTGGAGCATCTCTCCACCCCACAGTTCCATATCAGTGTAATAGCAATAACAATAATAATGCAGTAAATACATATCTATGCAAAGTGCAATACATCTCCAGGAGAAATCCCTCGAGCTCTCAAGCTGTCCTAAGGAAACTCATATGCAAATAGTCCTACTGGCCAGCTAACTACCATGTATGATTTACGCATCGTCATGCAACATACCCACATAGGGAAACACCATCCTATGCCACACCAAATGCATACACATACGTATAACAAAGCATTACACTATTTTATTGCATTTATATACACAATCACAACCTCTACCCTTTCAGGGCTTGGTAGAACAGTCAAGGGAATTACACCCAAGGTCCGAAGGCTTACCTCAATGCTTCAGTCAACCTTTGTTCTTCACCAACAGTTTCAGCAATCAACTTTTACAAACATACACCTACACATGGTGTAATGCAATCAACACATTGCATCCAAGAGTATTTCACAATCAACCATCAATTACTCAATTCAAAGCACAACACAAGTATGAGCTTACCAATTCCAATGAGCTATTCAAGCTCCATAGCTTGCTCCAATGGTTGATCACTCACGGTTGGTCCAAATGTCTCAATCCTAGACATCACAAGGATCCAATCAATCATTCAACTCACTAATTGTTCAACATGCTAGAATACTAACCAATCCAAGCATGAATTTTCCAATATTATGAACAATTATCCAATGACTATCTAGGCTCATTTCCACCGATTAAATGACATTCCTAGCATTTTCCATAACATGCTCTAAGCTACATTCTTCCTAGAACATAGCTAATTCAACTACATTTCATAAAAATCCCAATTTACTATTCACAAACCCTAACTCATGCAAATTTCAAGGAATCATGAGGTTCAAGGGTTAGAATCTTACCACCAATGGTCACACAACCAAGGATTGATGGCTCCTCAAGCTTCAATGGAGGTAGAAACTCTCAAAACCCCAATTTTCACCAAAGGGCCGAATTTTTGAGAGGTAATATCTCTCTCCACAATGCTCCCCACTCAAAACAAAGCTAGGATTATGAAAGAGGGCGAGATTCTAAGCGATTTAGGCTTTTGAATCATCCAAAACCATCAAGGTTTGATCTCTCTCTCTCTTCCTCCCTTCCTTCCTCTTCTTTCTCCTTCTTCTTCTCCTTCTCTTTGTTTTCTGGCGACGGGACTTGGGGGAGAAATGGGGGTCATTTGGTAGCTTAAGTCACTTAACATAGGTTAAGTGGCTTTAAACGGGTATTGGTTCGTCTATCTATTCAACTCCAATTATTACCAAACTTTACCCAAAAGTCTGGAATATTATTCTAGGAATATTACTATTTTTATTTTTATATTTTGGGTACTTTTGCCAGTACCCATTTATACCCCTTAATTTTCACTGAGTACACTTTTTAACTCCAAAGTGACCCAGATTCATTTAATTAAGCCTTATACTTAATTTCACTCACTAAAACATGTTTAATTAATTAATTACACTTGATTTACTAATTAATTAAGATGGGCTATTATATCAAGGATAGTTTTTTTCGATCCCACGATTCTACCATTTTTTTTTTCAGTAGATGCCACTCCTTTTTCTTTCTAATACAATCACTCCCGATCTTATCGTTTCTTCTGGAACTACTTATTCAATGCAACAATTTTATCTCTACAACAATTATCTTATGCTCCAATGATAAATATTTTAAGATATTTGAATTGAGTTGTTTATCTGTTCAATAATTCATGACAAGTAGGAACAAAAGGTCAATAATGCAGGGCAAGAAACATCTGTTGGTACCATTTGTCAATTTCATTAATACAACATGGCTTCAACTTGTTTACAAATTACAATAAAATCACTCCCCAATTAAACCCGACTAACGAGTATGGGGTGAGGACAATCTTTGTACTTAGCTTTACCCTTGCAAATAATTGGAAAAAGACTATTTTCCGGTCGGTCACAAAAGAATAGCTTTACTAGTGCTCCAGTTCGCCCTCTTACAATAGTTAATATAAAAACAAGATAAACATTTTTGCCTTTTAACATCATCCGGCAATACATGTTTGTCTTCTTTTCAATTTCTTTTGCATTAAATGTACATTTCAACATAAATGGGTGACTGCAGGAGTTGTATCCTACATAAACCTTAAACTCCCATTTTCCTTAGCCAAGAAAGTAACTAATATATTAAATTGTTTGTATAGTTGAATGTTATTCCCTGAAGTTCACTGAAAACCCTTAGCATTCACCATCAAGGGTCATTAGCATGGGGATTTGACCATTGTTACTAAGATCAATCTTGTTCAATCTAAGGCAACATAGTATTTTCTCTGGAAGCTCTTCTTGTTTCTGTGCCTGTTAATAGAAATTCAGAGATGTGGTCAATCTCAGTTGAAGGCTAACTATATAATGCTAAAAAAGGGTTGCTGTATCCCAAAATAGAACATTCACCTTCATTTAAAACTATATCTAAAAGTTACAATTATCAGAATATCTCTGCATGCATGCTGCATTAGAATGGTTTAAAAACATGACACAAGATAAAGTAAAACAGTAAGGATGGGTATTTATGTGCATGTTGTAGCAGGGGTTAGGAAGGGTTAATAAGGGTTTGTGTTTTTGAATTGAGACAGTGCTTTAGAGTCATAGCAAGTTAAAAACCATAGATCTTATTTTGAATGCCATGGATGGCAAATATTATAGCCAAGAATGCCAATGTAGGCGAAAATATCATGGTACCTGAATGGTTAGGCCTAAATCAAGAATGCCATCTTTCAAACGATCTCTAAATGAATCAAGTCCTCTTCTTGATATGTAGCTGAATCGATGAATGTCCAGATCAATCTCAAAGTAGTTAGGACCCTATTAGAAACAGAAAAATACAAGAATCAATTCCATGTCAGATGTAACAAGGTGGGCAAGCACTTTTATGTTACTAGTAAAGTATAAAATAATTACAGCCTAAATAAAAGGTACACCATGTTTATCAAGGGACAGATGCAACAACACATGTTTGGATAAAATATAAGGAGTGAGATTATAATAGAAAAATATTGAGATAAGGAATACCCCAATGACACATGTTTGGACAGTAATAGTATTCATTTATTTGAAAATCTATCACAGGCACATGACAAAAACATTTTTGAAATGACACATGCATATATGAGCTTTACCATGTAAAAGTTGTGCTGCGGGCGTGAAAGTACAGGTTTTCCATTATAAGAATTGACTAGCTTCCTTTCAGCAGAATTCATGTGCATATCCTCAGGATTGACAAGTCCTACCATGATCTTTAGTCTTTCTCTGAAAGCAACATCAGATTCTCTTGCAAACCCCTTGACCTTTTCCATCTCATCATCAATGAATTTCTGTAGCATAAATAGGAAACATGAACCAAGTTAATACTTAATACTGATTTTAAAGCATTAGAAGATTATATATTGTGTCAGACTCAGTTTAAACACATATCACCCTAAATGTACAGAGACAAAAACTAATATAATTTTAACAACACTCCCAGACAGATTCATTAAGAACAGCTTGGCACAAAGTATGTGCAGTATTGTTGCTTCAAACTTGGTTGAAAGTAAAACAAATGTATAGAAGCCTTAAATTAAACCAGTGCAATCACACCACAGTGACACTAGCAATCCAATACTGACCTACAAGAACTAAATAAGCATTTAGGATTACCCTCCAGGAATTTCTTATTTGATCAATTAAATGAGTTGAATGTTGACATCATAGAACAAAAAGTTACAAATCCCAGATTCAAGCGATCTTGAATGAAATCTGAGAGTAAACTAAGCGTGGAAACAATATTGTAAATCCAATTGAAACAAATTGCCATATAAAAATGATTTGAGGTGAGGTTTGTTGGAAATGTAAAGCACAATGAAAAAGGAATAATAAGAAAAGGAAAATTATACAACATACTCTTTACTTCAAATAGACAAACATAACCACGAGTTGACTAAAATGAAGTTAAGAAAATGATGGTTTGTAATGGGCAAATAGCAATGGGCAATTGATGTACCTTTATGCTTTCCTGAAACTGGGAAGAAATATTTTCATCAAGTGTCTCAGAAACCTTGAAATACAGTACAAGACTCATCCCTTCTCCATCACTATCACCAGCAAAAATTGCAGCTGGATATGTAGGCAACTGACACAAAGCACATAAGATAATGTGATGGATGAGAAACCAATCACCACTACCCAAGCTCATAAGTTATTAATGATACATATTTCAATACTAGTACTGAAGAAAGTTTTATGAATGTTGAATAAATGAAAAAAAAGTATTACCTGGATATTTACAATAAGAAGTTGAGGTATGTTCCCATTGGCTTTAAAATTTGGAAGTTCAAGGTATCGGGCAATATGATGTATCTTTCTTGGACACACAAATAGATCAACACCAATTGGAATGTATGGACTATGATTTGGTGCAGGAGACTTGCGCTTGTCTCTGGAAACAGAATGATTAGACAATTATATTTTCATGTAAATATAATTGATGATATCTATCTATAATGGAAATATCTATCTATCTATCTATATATATATATATATATATATATATATAGGGTTTAGTGAGTGTATAGTGACTGAATGTAAAATTCAGTCCAGTACACTAAATTCTCCCGCGAGAACACAGTTATAGTAAATATTATAACTATGTTCTCCCAGGGAAACACCTGAAGAACACCATTATAATATTTAGTGCACTAAGTTCTGGCGGGAGAACTTAGTGCACTGGACGGTCCAGTGAGTGAATTTTCATTTTTTCCATATATATATATATATCCAAGCAAGGCAGGTTAACATACTTGAAATAATTTTCACCACGGAGTTGAAATGTTGAGGGTGGAATTTCAGACCAACATCCAGGTGATGGCATTTCTCCATTCTGACATGGAATTGTATGTCCTGCTTTGGGACGAAATAGATATTTTTTTGATTGACCTTACATACAAATACAAGATTACAGAGCTTAATCAGCATAATATGTTAATGTTGCATACTTGCTTGCAATAGATTTAAGCTGTGGATAAAACTAGACAACCAGGAAAAAAAAAGAATGGTTACATACAAAAGGTGGCTTTTCTCTGGTACTTGCATTACTCCTAAATTTGAAAAAAAATACTTTTATGTTTCAACAATTCCCAGCATGCTACACTATAGTTGCTAGTTTAAAGTTCTAGCCTAAACCAATGCAAACTTTATGTCCATGCAGTGAAAATTGAAGTACTTTAACACTTACTAAGTTCAGTTGGTTCCTCTACGTCACAAGATCTCCGTTTGAAAGAAAGCCTTAATATGGTTGACAGCTTTTTGCTTGGCCGATTCAGTGTTTTGTCATTGAAACTAGCAGAGGGTGTAAAAAATTGAAAGCCTGATTTCCGTGTATTCTTTTGAGTCTTCTCTTCCAAACTATGTTTATATTCTTTTATACCTTTAAAGCTTCCCTGAGTTTTGCTTAAGCGAGAAATTCCACAACCTTGTGAACTGACAAGGCCAAAACCACTTTCATCTTTTCCCATTAACATATCTGCGTTACCTCCATCAACTTTAACATAACTTTCGCGATATTCTTCATACTGACACTTGTTATCCACAAAACATGTTGATCTTTCATACTGAAGCACTTGGCCACATGAGATGTTTCCATCTGCATATAAACCCCCAATTAATTAGTAATAATAATAATAAAGACAAAGTAACCCTTCATTAACATAATCTTGAAGATCTAAACATAGAAGTCTTTTAGAATATGTTATGAAAGTGTGTGAATGCATATAATATCCTAGGATAAGAAAAAAATAATTAACTTTGGTTCAATATCGAAGACATTTTTGTATTAGTTGTTTACATGTTAATAATAATGGATACATATTCATTACCTCCATGAACACTATTGAAGTCATCATCTGATTCAGATTCCAGAATACTGACTGAATCAAAATAAGCCTCCTCTTGGCACATTACTGAAAGCAATGAAATAACAAAGTCAATCTGAATTTCAAGTAAAAAAAAAAAAAGGAAAAAAGATGTGAAGATAGGAAAGTCAAAAGAATGTACTGTTTGCATCAGCATCATATTGACTATGGTGCCATTGAAGCTGTGTAAGATAGAATGCTGAATTGGAAACTTGAGAACGTCTGCAAGTAGTAGTTGCACCATTTTCAAAGTCCATATGAACAAATTCACTAACAGAATAATCTGTTACACGGGCCCCTGCATTGCTAATCCTCTTTTTGGTATCATTAGATACTGAATTTGAGATCTTTTGACGGCGTTTTATTATATGTCTATGGAGCTTCCTTGGTGCTTTCATTGCATTAGAAGGTACTGACATGCAACTACCCATTGTATGTTGTTAAGATCACAAGTTTCAAAGTTTCAAAAATTGTCTTTGTAAGAATGGTGAACCTCAGAATCTGCACAGCATATATATCAAAGGAAACTTAGTAAACTTATATAATGTCAACAGATAAATGACACATTTTAGCAATAAACTTTACTGAATTACAACATGAGAACAATAAGATCATACCACATAATTAAGTCCAAAAGTGAATGTGTCAAAAATGTTAAGTTTTTGACATTATATACAAACTTCAATAGCTGAGGATTGAAGGTTACAACTACCTTTGGGATTGCTAGGAAGGAAATGAAAAAAAAGGATGGAGTTCAAGACTTGGAAAGGAAGACTTATGAACCAATAAACATTGCCACATGCATAGAAGGTTTTATAGCACACAGAGAGGCATGGAGAGAGGTTTTGTTTTGGGGTTCAATTTCAAGGAAGCTACTGTTGTCTCCTTAAAGAAAGAGAAATATATATAAAGAAGAGAAAAAGGCAACAGAAAAGCAAAAAAGGATAAAAGCTATGTAAAGAATAGAAAAGAGAACGACATATTAACAAAGACAAACGATGTATATAAATATCTTTGTGTACAATGCATCTGAGCAGAAAAATCTTAATTTGATATTTGTATAAATTTATGAAATAAATTATGCTAATATAAATTTTAGCATAGCTAATAGGTTGTTCATATGTCATGAAAGAAAGCAAAAGGGAAAGGAAAAAGGCCAAAAAGGTAAGATATCATGTTAAAAGAAAAAAAGATATATTAAAAAAACATGCAGAATTCACATCCAACAAAGAAGAAGACAAGGACAAATAAAAATCTGAGACATCTACATTTGATGTCTATGGTGTGATATTGATGTCATAGATTCATAGTTTCATACCTCCAACGTAAAATGAAGAATTCAGAGACCGATGAAGAGGGAAGAACACGTTACACATGTGTGTGTGGGTCCAACAACAACTAACAAGGGCAATGTCGGATCCAGATGCTGCAAAAACACAGCACCTTCCCTGTGTTTTCCCGTTTCAATAATAATTGTGTTGTATATAAACCAACTAATCAATGATGAATGAAAAGAAAAGAAAAAAAGATGAAATGAGTTTGAATAAATGTTAGGTGCAAATAATAACAATAAAAAAATAATGGCTACAAATATTTATATATATTTTGACTAAAGTGGAAGGTTTTGTGAGTTGATAAGAAGGTGGGAATGGTGTTGGTTTTTGTTTGGTCGTGATCTTCTCCTTGAGTTTAGGTCTTCATGCACGAGATTTCGCTGGCTCTATCTAAGGAAAGAGAGAGAGAGAGACTCACGGTCAAAACTAAACTCCCATGTTAGAAACCATGCTGTACTATTGGCAAAATCTCATCATCTTAATCTGTTTTTGTTTATCTGAATTTGGATATTCTCCGTAGCATGATATTGTTCGCTTTGCCCCCGGGCTCACGGTTTTGTTTTTTGGGACACTCCACAAAAGGTCTCACACTAGAAGAGATATCCACACCCTTATAAGGCATGCTTCGTTCCCCTCTCCAACCGATGTGGGACATTACATTCCTTTTACTTAATAAACTTGACATGACATGGCTTTTTACTTAACAATTAATTACACTGGACTATTTTTAGATTAGCTATTATTATATTGATAATTTTTTACTATCTGTAACAAATACTAATTTCAAAAAATAAAGCGGTTTATGTTATGAAATGTAGAAGGGAGTAGCATAACCCAAATTTTGAGCTAACATTATGAAGTGGGTTGCTAAAATATATATATTGATTTGATGTTTGTCTACGGATAATTTTATCTCTTTACATATATAAAAGTAGGTGAGGATCTATATAGCACCGATACTGATACGGGACACGTGACACGACACGACACTCCAACACGTTAATTCTAAAAAATGTTAGATTTGACACGTTAAGACACGTTTTAATATTAAATAATATTTTTAATTTGTATAGTGTATATTATATTTAATATTCAATAATTTAACATAAAATAAAACTAAACTTATAATATTCATCAATTTTGCAAAAAAACATAAGATATTCCAAATATTTATATTAAACTCAATAAAATGGTAATCGTAATCCAACGAATCTAATAGTTGGAACTAAAAACTCAACGTAACGCAACCTTTGAATCTTTTTTGAATTTCTATAACATGTGTTAGAGTGTCAGGGAGTGTCGAGAAGTGTCGGACACTACACGTCACGGTTTTTTTTGAAGTGTCATTGCTTCATAGGTGAGGACTATGTGATGAGAAGAGAGAAAAAAAATATGAGTCTCACGTACTCTTATAAATATGTAGGAATTCTTATGTGTGTGTAAGAGATAAAATTATCTCTGAAAAATCAGGAATCCCTTTTTCTATTTTACCGAAAAATAAAACCTAATATATATATATAGGGACAGGATCCGTTTACAAATTTTTTTGAATTTTTTTACAATTTACACTGTATTCTCCCGGGAGAACATAGTGTAGTTTGTAAAAGTTTGTATTCTCCCGGGAGAATATAGTGTAGTTTGTAAGAATTTGTAAACAAAAAAGTTTGTAAATATAACCTGCCCCATATATATATATATATATATATATATATATATATATATATATGTATGATGAGAGTTATATTTACAAATTTTTTGTTTACAAACTCTTATAAATTACACTATATATTTCCGAAAGTACATTAAATTATACTATGTACTTCCGGTATTACATAGTGTAATTTACAAAGATTTATAAATAGATCTTTCCCATATATATATGGGAAATATTATATTGATAAATTTTTTTACTTACAAATTATAATAAGTCTGATTAATTATACACTTTTGATTGAAGTCAGACTAGTCAAACTTAGTGTAATTTGTAAGTTTGTAAGAAAAAAAATTTGTGAATATAATAAATCTTTATATATATATATATATGTGTGTGTGACAGATGTACTAAAAGAAAACAGAGACATTGAAGAGCAAAACTAAGAACGAGGCAATTCACATGAGAAACGATTATATAAAAAGTTTTCTTGTACTTTCGAGGACAACCTGAATATCTGAGAGAAAAAGGATCTGTCTTCACATGCACATATTTATTTGATTATTGCAGACCCGAGCTAGTGCGCGTACACAGAGGCGTATCAGCAATGCACATGGGAAGAATTGAACCAAGCTTTTTATTTTTATTTTTTGTGATCAAAATGGACAATAAGAAAATGAAGGAAAATTTTCTTAGTTGAGTGTCCAACACTTTACGTTATCTTATTTTCTTCCCCTTGCCTTCTATATCATTGAATAATAAATGAACTCTACAGTTTCTAAATAATTTAGTTTTTAGTTTTAAAAACTATTATTAAGGATATGATTATTCTAAGATTATCTATTAAGGAACTAGTGATTATTTAAAATTCTTGAGAGGCAGACACAAGCCAAAAAAATTACTGAAAAAGAGGCTATTTAAATTGCTTTCAGTACTATAAAAACCTCTTTGAAAAGAGATGACTTCAGCAAACAAGACTACTTGCCAAAAAGAATTCAAACCTTTACAAAGTGTCCTTTTTAAAATGGGGAATGTTGCCTCCCTCTTGCATGCATCAACATTTATATATAATTGGCAACATTTACCATACTGTCACATTTTTTTTTTAGTATTTGTTGGAAATTGATGTCGGCAATAAAACATGTCAAACTGCCATATCTCCAAACTCGTTATAATTACTAGCAAAGTTATGTCATGTGACATATTTCCTGGTGCCACCAAATTCGCTGTCAATAACGACGACTTTGGTGGTCAAATCAGGTTGCTCCAACTATTGGAGAGAAAAAATTTAACATAAAAGTCGCAAAAAAAAATGGAGTACCTTTTCATATTGAACAGGTTTCGACCATGGAAACGATGAGCGTTCAAAGTCTCAATTTACTAAGTTTCATCAACACAAACAGAGGGGCACAACATGAAACTTGAAATACCAAACTAAACAGCTTTTCCATTGAGTTCCTTCAACATCACCACCGCTAGAGCAATACGACAATCCCACGCTCTTCATAGTGTCTCTTCATTTCCTGTACTATATAGTTCGATTTCTCGTCACCATTGAATTGAAGCTTCAAGCTTCAAAAGCACAGAAGCGCTCTCATTTCTTTTAGTTACGGAACCAACAACCAATGACCAATAACCAAAACTAGTTTTATTCTTCAATTATTTATTATTTTTGAAATTTAAATGAAAAAAAAAGAAATGACATATTTATATTTTAAAAGAAAATAAATTAAAATTTTAACAAAAAAATAATAATACAAAAAGAGAAATTTTTGTCATACAAGTATTTTTTTTTAAAAATATTTAACATAAACGTTTTAAATAAATATGTGTAACCAATTAAAAAATATAAAAATTATAAATTAAAAGAGAATTTTTAAAAAAACAATTATATACATTAATAAAAGAATTTAAATTTAATTTTAAATAAAAAATGACATCTATCATAGTTAATATCGAAACCAACGTCCTTTAAAAAAAGTGAATATTCAGAAATTTTAAATTTAAATAAAATATAAAAAATAGCCCCCGCATGCCAACACATTTTTATAATTAAATTAAAATTTCACCCTTCTTCTTTTATAATTAAATTCTTAAATCTGATTTCAATTTTTGTAAATATAAATTTATAAAATTTCAAATACTAACGATATAAATCCTTACAAAAAATAATTATTTTGTAAATACGATTGTGATAAATGAAAGTTCATCTCATATAAAACCCTAGACGCAACTATAAAAATCTTGTTTGTGTGGATAAATATAAAAACTTATTACATGTTGTATAAAATGCTAACAGTTAGAGGTGGTGAACTGAATTCAATCTCGGGGACCGACCTGCCAACAGATTTTTATAATTAAAATAAAATTTTTGCCTTTTTTTCTTTTACAATTAGATTTTTAATTTTTATAAATAAAGATTTATAAAATTTCATATAGTACCAAC